CCATACATTTAGCTATGGCTTCAGCAAATTTGTTCTTCGTCGTGTTATCCATTTTCTTCGCTTTGAAATTATCCATAGCTGTCTGTCTGAGACAGGGGGTGGAGTACTCACGTCAGCTGTGTGCTTGGCCATTCAGTGGTATTTCAGACTCGACGTGCCATGATGATAGCTCAGTTTACGACTGCAAAACATACAGGTAACTCTGGTATTGTCAGTGGAACAATCTGGCAACTTGTTGGGTACGATGTATGCCACTATCACTGTTGTTGCAATATGTGGCACTACTTTGTGTGGAAGGACACCATGTTCTGGTGTGTATATAAATAAAGGGGGTGGAGCTTCCCGGCAGTTCGCGTCTGGCAGTGACGATGCACTGAGGCACGTCAGGTGTTGAGCGACTCAGTGGTAGCGACACACAGAAAAATAAAAGAAACGTCTCCAGTCTTGTGCCTCGAACCGAGTGTAGTCACCAGCAATGATGCCTACACATGACCAGCGAGAGACTTCCGCTAATTTGAGTTGTACCCATATATGTTAACCATTATTATATTGATGTTTCCCGTGTTGATTACTTGTAAAAGGAAATGACCTGCTTTATCGCATACAGAATGTAAAATACTCCCAGAGAACTGGTGTTTCAGCGTAGCGACCCCTGCTGAGTGTTCAGATCCATGTGCCAACCATAAATCGTTGCCCCATTGAGCTTTCCATAACCGCAAATCGTTAGTGATCGAGTGGGATTCCTGAAGAAAACAAAAATCATTTCTGTGCTGCTTAGCAAACAAAAAAATTGCTTTACGATTCACAATGTTTCTTAACCCCCTGGCATTGAGAGTAATAATAGATAAAGACATCTTAATTAATAATGACAAACACACACTTCGAAATATAACTGGATGATCGTGGACTAAAACACTAACCCTACTATTTGGGGCTGTACCGTTCGAACATCTATTTTAAACAAATTAGTGGAACACAACGTTAAGAGGAACAAAAGGTATACATTTTCTGTCAGTGGTTTCGTTAACAGTCGTTCAATTCTAATTAAGACATTATTACTGCAATTAAACCAAACTAGCAGTACTGTGTTGGGCATCAAAAGTCGGTTAGCAATAACTAAGTAAACAGGTTGATAACATAACAGGTCTGGACCTTGCTGTGATTGTGAAGGCCATAGTTGAAGGAATGTCTTTTTTTTTTTTTTAAATAATTAATAGTCCTCAGTGAACTTATAACAATGTTTGGGAGCCAATTCAACACACCAAGGCCGGAACCCAGAGTGGAACACGGAAGTGCAAAACTGTGATGTATTCCCTCGATGCCCTGAAATGAAGCAATTCTTCTCATACTGCATATAAATCAGAATAAATTAAAGCTTGCAAATAATTGTAAGATGTCTTGTGATGAAAGAATTTAATTGGCAAGACAAAATGAAATGTTTTATTATTATTAATGATAGGGGATAATAATGGTTTAAGTAAACAATATTATATCACATCATCTCCATCCTTTTTTATTACAATCGCTACAACTTCAAATGGCATGAGAGATTTATTTAAAATGTGTCCATCTTGTGCTACTGTTCAAATCAACATGAAAAAAACACCACAGACTATTATTCTACAAAATGTTAATACTGTACTCTGTACCTATTTACATACCAAATAACCAACCACCGTCAAGTTTCTCATCTTCATCTCAGACTGTAATATTGTAAATTTACAGTCGCAAACTATCGTTTTAGGTCAACAGTAATTCTTTATTATGCAATGTGTGTCCTTAACTTTAGTTTTAAAATATGTAATATTTTGAATTAATCTTGTGCACATCTTTATTAAACCGAGTCTAAAACTTTCTTTAAATATGGAAACAGCATTGTAATATCCAGCCGAAGAGATTTTGATGCCTGCCGTGTTGTGTTGAAGTTCATCAGCAGGAAAAAACGATCCTTTCCTGCTGTTGAACTCCTCTGACCTCCTATCCTTCTCGACTAGAGTATTTATATATTAACGTATAAAAAGAATGTTGTGTGGTATGGTGTGATTTTTATGTACTCTCGTTTTTCACTGTTGACACCGTTACTGCTGCTTTGGCCACATGGATATGTGGATTCTAATGTCTTCTTTGAACAAAGATGATGCAACAAGGCTCTTGGCAGCATAGTTATTGTCAAATGTGTTTTTTTACAGAATCAAGTTTACTGTATGTTCAACCAAAAGTAGCTGCTGTGATCATTGTTAACAGTGAATATGTATATAGTCATGTTTTGGCATCAATTGTGGTATTTATTTGATGGGTCGATTTTCTTAACTTTCTTCATAAAATATGTCTTGCATGAATTAAAAAATGTATTTATCAAAGCAGCGCCAATGAATGCACCCTTGTTTTTGATCTACAGGTAGAAAGTGTCCTGAGCAGCATGTAAGTCTCGACACACTCTGGTATCAACTGAGCGGCAAACATCACCAAGTTTAACAAACACTGTAATTTCTTTGCCTCTGCCAAGAAGAGGTACGTATAATTAGTTTTCTAGCCAGCAGGATTATTAAAAAAACACACACAAGCAAAACTTTGTGTAAGTGTGGCATATGTGTATAGGAGGAACCCATTTATTTAATTTTTTTTAAATCCAGATATAGGGAGTCATTCTCTTACTCCATTCTCCATAAACAAACAAACAAACAAACAAAAAAGTGATTAGAGTTTAAAAAAACAATCCTTGTAGGATTGTAGTTTGACGGTTTTCTATCATACTGAAACTGTTCCCAAGAGCAAGAACAAAAATATGACAGTCCTGACACCATCAATCCCACTTCTGGTAACAGTTCATACTATAGGCAGAGGTCAGAGTGCTACAGTAGTAAATCACTGAGGTGATGATCCAGTCAATATCAATAATTTAATGAACACATTCTGATCCAAGTAGCTTCCATCGATTTGGGCGTCTAAGGTAAAACTAAATTATAAAACTGATGACAGAAAGTGCAACAGATGGTATCCCTTTTTAGATCAAACTTGATTCAGAAAGTGATGAAATTAGTTGGACTTGACTATCCAGTTACACTGGAGATGGATGGGTCTGTCTCACTTTTCAGCTTGAGTGGAGGCTCGATGGTGTCAGGTGCAGACAAGTTTGATGATGACTGAGGAGGAGTGGGGGAATCAAAGCCCTTGCCTTCTCTGTTCACACTCTCCTCCCCATGCTCTGCTGGCGACTCGTGTGTACGCATGTGCTTGGCCAGGTGATCATTGCGCATAAACACCCGAGGGCACAAGGCACAGCTAAATTTCTTGGTACCGGTGTGTGTCTGTAAATGCCGCTGCAGTTCATCAGAACGTGTAAAACGCTTGCCGCAGAAGAGCCAGTTGCACACGAATGGACGATCCCCGCTGTGCCACCTTAGGTGAGCCTTCAGATGAGAGGTCTTAGCGTAGGCCTTACCACAGCCAGGAATGTGGCAGTTGTGCATGTGCTTCCTCCTGCTGTCATCCATGCTGTGGCCCAATTGCTCCGCGTGAACACAGTTAGGACAGCGACAAGCTGCCTGGCCAGAACCTCTGGAAGAAGAACGCCTCTGGGACTTCGGCCGGACCAAGACGACATTTTCCAGTGGCTCTTCCAGTATGAAAGGCTCCTGTTGCAAGATATCAGGAGCCAGCGGTTCCATTTTGAAGCCCTCCGGAGGGAACAGGTGAGGCGAGTGTGATGCTGGGAGATGTTGTGTTAGAGGCAAGGAGCACAATTGTGGGTCGGAACCGTAGCAGCCTAGAGAGGACTGCAGACTCATGGTGCTCCCTGGACTCACAGAAGGTAAGTCAGCACCTTGCCCTGTGTGGAGGTCAATCCAGTTCCCAGACTGAACATCCCTCTGGAGGTCCCACCAGGAAGGGATATTGATGTCGTCTGTACTGCCACTAGATGGTGCTGTCCGTAGCCAGGGTTCATAATTGTGGGCCATGTGCGCTTTGCAGGTGCACTACTGTAGATGAGATCAGCGGCTCAAGCTGTTGTTAACACTATGCTTTTTTTGTGTTGCTCAGATGATTACCACATGGCGGGGAGGCGACGCACTATAAAACCTGCAGACAGAAAGAGGGGCAAATAATTAACTCTAAACATCGGCTCTTTATTTGTTACACACATTCCATCAGTGACTTCACAAAACCATGAGCAATGAGGTCATGTCCCCCCCAGACACTGTATACACCTTTGTGGCGCTGACATTTCTAAACTTAAGATATGCAGTCATTGAGGCCCAAATCCTCTTTGATACAACAATCAAACAACAACCCTCACGCACAGCTCACTTCCCTCACTGCCATGGATTCTACAATTCTCACACTCCACGGCCGTGCAGACAGAAAAGAGGGGGAGACAGACATGTCCAGGCACAGGCCTGCCACATGTATCCGCTGCCAGGTACTTCCCATGGAGGACAGTCAAAGAAAAGCTTAAAAAAAACAACATCATTGATCCTAGGGTTGGCGGGGAGCGAAATACTGGTAAGGTTGGAGGAGGGAACAGTGAGGGGGCTGGTGCAGGGAGGTGTTGACAGGGAAGCACTTTGGTAAAGGAAGAAGTTGCAGGGCGGTATGGCTGCGGGCCAGAATCTATTTGTACGTCTCTGTGGGTTGTAGAGATGAGATGAAACTTGGCAGACAGGAGAACCTGTTTTTGTGAATCACACTTGATTTATAGGCCTTCACACATCACAAGCCTGCAGGCAACATACAAAAGAAGCCCTGTAAAACACTTCACCTCAAACACACAGGAGACAGCAGTTACAGTCTGACGACAAACAGAGGCTGAGAGTCTCACTACACTAAGAACAATCTTCGTGCGCCTCCTCAATCAGGGGCAAACGCTCAGAAAAGCTAGCGTGAGGCCTGACTGCCTGACTCTCGCCGCATTCCAGCGATGAACAGTTCTTGAGCTCTTCAAATATGTCAGTCACCTGCAGGAGGAGGGGCTCTTTTGAAAGGTGACACAAAGCTTGTTAAAGTGCAACATGTCTGTGGAAACTGACGAGCTGAAAGCTGGCGCGACTTGTGCGTGGCTCTCTGAACAATAAATTCTTTGCTCCAAACAATCTTGTTGACTTCTACCACACCCCCGTCCTCGAAGATCTACAATTACCTTTACAGCAGGAAACAGTAAAAGAGTCTGAGGCTTTCTTGTTCAGAAGATCTCTTGGAATGATACCATATCTGACAGAGCAAATAGGACAGTCTCCAAAGGAGACGTCAAGCCCACTACTTCTATGCAGGCGATGCAAACATGGTTGACACGCAGGTGGCGTCAGGCTGACTGACAGTGACACAATGCCTCACTTGATCTTAATTCGTCGAGTCTTCCTTCTTGAAGGTCCAGTCACTCAAAGATGGATGCTACATGCAAAGAAATTGTAAACCAATTAGTTTGGAATTCCCTAATGAAAGGTGCAGTGCTTAGGGTCAAACAGACATATTTCAAGTCGGCCTGGAGCCACTGCTACTGCTCTGTAA